GAGTGATCTCCAGCCCTTACCTGGAGATTGTACACATTTTACCTTAGAACAGCAAAACTGTTTAGAATGTTAGAGGCAAAAGCCAATCAAGTCGCATATGCAAACGACCTCTGTGTTCCGAGGCAGAGGCCAATGAGGCTGCATATGCAAATGACCTCTGTGTTCTGACTGGCTATGGGGGGGAGAGGATTAGCAAAATGTTTAGAATGTTGGAGGCAGGACTCAGGCAAAGCAGCCAGTGGATAGGGAGACCCTGTGAATGACAGATCAGAGAGCGAACTGATTTTGGAGCATGTGGAATGTTCTAGAGAAGTGCCACCACCATTCGGCTTTTATTTATAAGGGAGATATGGGAGGGTAGCCTGGGCTCAGCCGGTCCCGCCTATATATATATATATATAGCTGTTCTATATATATTCTATATATATTCTAGCTGTTGTAAGGGTAAAGAATGTTATCATTTTAATGTGTGATTTTAACCTGCAAGGCACCTTTTGATTGAAAAGCTGCACAATACTATTGTATGCAAACAACTACCGGATCCCTGAAAGGTTATACTCTTTATCTTGGGCAGGGTGGGGTCGTTAGCATCACTATCAGCTGGGACTGTGACCTGGACTGGCCCGTGAAGCACTGCATCCCCATTTACAACTTCCATGGACTGTATAATGATGATAACCTCTCTCCTGGCTTCAACTTCAGGTAGGGTGGCTCTTATTTTATTCGGCCCCCATGTTTCAGCTACCATTAATGCCGGCGGCATAGCCATGGATCAGCTGCTTGGCATGCAGCAGGTCTCAGGTTCAACACCCACCCCCCCGCGCCAACATTTGCAGTTAAAAGGATCAGGTGGTCGGTCATGTGAAAGACCACCTGAGACCCTGGCGAGCTGCTGCCAGTCAGAGTAGACAATACTGACCTTCAGGGCTCTTTTTGTAGAAAAAGCCCAGCAGGAACTCATTAGCATAATAGGCCACACCCGACTGCATAAACTCATTAGCATATTAGGCCACACCCATGCTGCCATATCTCATTAGCATATTGGGCCACACCCCCATGTTATCAGAAGTGTGCTCATCCAGCCACACCCAGCTTTTGCTTCTTATTCTGTTTGCTTTGTTGTCAAAACCCAGGGCTTTTTTGGTAGCAGGAACTCCTTTGCATGTTAGGCCACACACCCCTAATGTAGCCAATCCTAATGAGTTCCTGCTGTTAGGTGTGGCCTATTATGCTAATGAGTTCCTGCTGGGCGTGGCCAACTCGGGAGCCAGCCGGAACTCCGTTCTTGTGCGTTCCTGCCCAAAAATAGCCCTGCGTGACCTTGATGGACCCAGGGCCTGACTCAGCGGCAGGCAGCTTCATGTGTCCTTTCTGATCCATATGTTTTTTTTGTTTTGAAAAGATATGCCAAATATTACCGAGAGAATGGGAGTGACGTAAGGACCCTGTACAAGGTGTTTGGAATCCGCTTTGATATTCTGGTCAATGGAAAGGTAATGCTTGCCCTGAAAAATAATATTCTCCTTTGGGGTGTCATGGGGAGGGGGGTAATGCCAGAGTTCTCACGACTGGAACAGTCTTTATGACACATCTCCATGGGAAGTCTGCCTCCATGAATCTGCCCATGAATAGGCCCCATCACTTACTGGCAAGGCCCCACAACTCACAATCTAACCCAGGACCCCTGAGCGCTTGCAGGCCCATCAATTAGTATTGTTACCTGCCTGTCCCTTTCATCTCTGCATATCTCCTTCTCTGGAAGAGAGGCTAGCAGGGGTCGTTTCGTAGAAAAAGAGCTAGGGGAACTCATTAGCATAACTCATTAGCATATGCCACACCCCTTAACATCACCGGAAATGTGTCATAAGGCCACACCCCCTGACATCACCAGAAGTGTGTCATAAGGCCACACACCCTGCCCCCAACGGTCCTGGCCGCCGGCGCCGGCCTTGCAGCTCCACTGCCGAGCCCCATGAGGGGCCCGGCGGTGGACCTGCAAGGCCAGCGGGAGTGCAAGGAAGCCCCGCGAAGGCCCTCCCTGGCCTCAGGCAGGTTGGGGTGGGGAGAGGCAGGGAGGAAGCAACTTACCCTCCCTCTTCTCCTGCCTCCTCCTGGCTGAATGAGGGCTGGAAGCGGGGCAGCCGGAAGCAGGGGGCGGGGCTTCGTCATGTGCCCCGCCCCCCGTACCTCACCCGGGGGAACTGTGATCCCCCGCCATCCTCACCGAAATGACCTCTGGAGGCTAGTATTAGAGAAGGGCCTCCTCTGTGGTAGTACCCAGACTGAAGCTCCTGGCTCCTGGTGTCTCGTCCATTAACATTAGGCAAACTGTCCTTTTGGTTGGCAAAGATCATAGAATCATAGAATGTTAGAGTAGGAAGGGACCTTGCAGGTCATCTAGTCCAACCCCCTGCACTCTGCAGGAGCATAGCTGAAAGATCATTTTGTTTTGTTCTTCCACTGTCTTCATTGCATGTTTTGACCTGCTTCTGCTGTTCCCATGGATGGATTTAGTTGTACCGGCTTGGATCCAAAGCTGACATACCACAAATGGTGGAACCTTTCCCCAGTACAATTGCAAAGAGCCTCACTCTGATGGAAATGGAGCGTTCCACCAGCTTCTGTGAACTGGTGGCAGCTTCTTTGTTTGAGAGCCAGTTTGGTGTAGTGGTTAAGAGCCTGGACTATAATCTGGGAGAACCGGGTTTGATCCCCCACCCCTTCGCATACAGCAGCCGGTGTGACCTTGGGTCAGTGACAAGTTCCCCTTAGAGCTGTTCTGTCAAGAGTAGTTCTCAAAGAGCTCTCTGGAATAAAAAGTTTTATTCAGGGTATGAGCTTTTGTGGGCACGTATCTGAAGAAATGTGCGAGGACGTGAAAGCTCATAATTGAATAAAGCTTTGTCAGTCTTAAAGGTATAACAGCATACAATGAGAAGAACAAAGTTTGAGTCTGGTGGCAAAAACACATTTCTTTGGATGCCTGAAGTATCTGCAGAAGTGTGCTTTACACACGGAAGCTTATATCTTGCACAAAATTTGGTTCTGCTGCTTCAGACCAACACGGCTACCCCACCTGAATCTAGCATACAACCAGCTCAATCAGTTGATAAATCTTTGATTGCCTTCAAAAGTTCCCTTGAAAAGAGTTTGGCAGAGAGTAAGAAGTAAGTAAGAGGGCGGTTAAGATGCTGAACTGCAGGCTGTGGAAGGTCAGTAGTTCTGCAGTTCGAGACCTGAGTGCTGCATGAGGGAGTGAGCTCTCGTCTCTGGCCCAAGCTCCTGCCAACCTAGCAGTTCAAAGGCAAGGAATTGCAAGTAGATAAGTAGGTACTGGGGCTGCGGTGGCTCAAGTGGTTAAGACGCTGAACTGCAGGCTGTGGAAGGTCGGTAGTTCAGCAGTTCGAGACCCGAGTTGCCGCATGACAGAGTGAGCTCCCGTCTCTGGTTCCAGCTCCTGCCAACCTAGCAGCTCGAAAGCAAGAATTGCAAGTAGATAAATAGGGACCACTTCGGTGGGAAGGTAACAGCGTTCCGTGCGCCTTGGTGTTTAGTCATGCCGGCCACATGACCACAGAAACGTCTTCGGACAGCGCTGGCTCTTTGGCTTTGAAACGGAGATGAGCACTGCAACCCTAGAGTCGGACTCGACTGGCTTTGGAGCAAGGGAACCTTTACCTTTACCTTTAAGTAGGTACTGCTTCTGTGGGAAGGTAACAGCGTTCCCTGTGTCTCGGCATCTAGTCATGCCGGCCACATGACCACGGAAACATCTTCGGACAGCAGTGGCTCCTCAGCTTCAAAACGGCAATGAGCACTACGACCCTAGAGTCAGATTCGACTGGCTTTTGAGCAAGGGAAACCTTTACCTTTAAGAAAAGGGGCATGTGGTATAATATGCACTTAACCCACAGTGGTGGTGTGCAGTGTTCCCTCTAAACTGAGTTACTGTGAGCTAGCTCACAGTTTTTTAGCTTCCAGCTCACACATTTTCCTCTTCGCTCAGGAAGGATGGCTCCAGAGCAAACTAATTTATGCAGCAGCCAAATTGCTCACTCACAACTTTAGTGCCAGTAGCTCACAAAGTAGAATTTTTGCTCACAAGTCTCCACAGCTTAGAGGGAACATTGGTGGTGTGATTAGAGAATCAAACTAGGATCGGGGACACTCAAGTCTGAATCCCCACCCAGCCCAAGGTAACCTTGGCCACTCATTCTCTGTACCCTGCCTCACAGGATTGCTGAGTGGGTCAAATGACAGAGGGGAGACCCATGTAGACCGCCATGACCTCTTTGAAGGAAGGGTGGGATAAAAAGGTACTCAAACAAGTGAGAAATACTGGCCAGTACGGGTTCCTGGGTTCTTGCTGCCTTCTGCTGCTTGGCATCCATGGCCTGACTATCTCTGATTTCTTCCAGGCTGGGAAATTTGACATTATCCCAACGATGACCACCATAGGCTCCGGGATTGGCATCTTTGGAGTGGTGAGTACAGACCCTGATATCCTTAGAGGGAGTGTGTGTTTGTGTGTGTGTGTGTGCGCAGGGCTATTTTTGGGCAGGAACGCACAGGAACGGAGTTCTGGCTGGCTTCAGAGTTGGCCACGCCCACCACAGCCAAAACCTCTGCGTGCCTGGCTACAGAGGGAAGGCCTGGAGAGCAAAACACACACCCCCGGCGACTCCAAGGCGGGCGGGCCAGGGGGCCCTGGAAGGATCATGGAGGCATTTAAAGGCCTCCATGTGCCTTCCCCAGCCTGTCCAAGGGCTGGCTTGCCCAGGCAAGCCAAGGGAAGGCATGGGGTGTGGCCTAATATGCTAATGAGCTGCACTGTCAGGGGTGTGGCCTAATGTGCTAATAGATTTCTGCTGTTGGGTGTGGCCTATTATGCTAATGAGTTTCTACTGGGCTTTTTCTACAAAAAAAGCCCTGTAGTGTGTGTGTGTGTGTGTGTGTGAGAGAGAGAGAGAGAGAGTGAGTGTAACTCCAGTGGTGCTATGGCTGCCAACCTCCAGGTAGTATCTGAAGATCTCTTGGGGTTGCAACTTATCTCCAGGCAATAGAGGTCGATTCACCTGGAGGAAATGGCCACTTTGGAGGGTGGACCCTATGGCATGAAGTCCCTCCCCTCCCCAAACCCCGCCCTCCTTAGGCTCCACCCCCCAAAATCTCCAGGTATTTCCCAACCTGGGGCGGCCAACCCTTTTGGGCTCCGGCAACTCTGCCAGCTTTGTTAAGAGAGGGGAGAGCGAGAGAGATTTCTGTTCTGAGTTTTGTTTTGTCTCCGACCGCAGGCTTCCGTCCTCTGCGACCTGCTCCTGCTGCACTTCCTGTCCAAGCGGGACTATTACAAGCAGAAGAAGTTCAAGTATGCGGAGCAGGACTCCCTCAAGCCGGTCAGTGGGCAGCCCCTCCCCCAGACTTCCCAGGATGATCTTCAGCAAAGATGAAGTCAATAGAAAGGAGCAACTCTGCTTCGGGTTTTAGGGTCAGGCAGCCGTCCTCAGCAGCTGTACCTGAAGTCTCATCATTGCTCCCGGGAAAGTGTGGCCGGGCTGGCAAGCTTAGGCGGTCATTGCTGGCGTGACCACAGAGGCCTGTGCAGCAGCAGCAACAAAGCACCCACGGGGGGGAGGTCCCCCTGTGCAGCTCCAGCTCCCTGCAGCTACCAAAGATCCATGGCTCCAGAGGGTCCCCCCCCCTTAATTTGTAACGGCCATGTTGCTATGACCTTATAATGCCGTAGCGAACACATATGAAGCTGCCTTTGACTGAATGAGCCCATCAAGGCCAGTGCGGCCTACTCGGACTCACGGTGGCTCTCCAGGGCCTCAGGCAGAGGTCTTTCACATCACCTGTTCCCAGGGCTTTTTTTGTAGAAAAAGCCCAGCAGGAACTCATTAGCATATTAGGCCACACCCCTGATAGCACAGCTCATTAGCATATTAGGCCACACCCCCATGTTACCAGAAGTGTGGTCATTCAGCCACACCCACCTTTTGCTTCTTATTCTGTTTACCTTGTTTGTTGTCAAAACCCAGGGCTTTTTGCATGTTAGGCCACACACCCCTAATTGTAGCCAGTTCTAATGAGTTTCTGCTGTTGGGTGTGGCTTGTTATGCTAATGAGCTCCTGTTGGGCGTGGCCAACTCAGGAGCCAGCCGGAACTCCGTTCCTGTGCGTTCCTGCCCAAAAATAGCCCTGCCTGTTCCCTAGGGATGCCAGCCTCCAGGTGGGACCTGGGGATCCCACATAATTACAGCTCATCTCCGGACTACAGAGATCAGTTCCCCTGGAGAAAATGGAAGCTTTGGAGGGTAGACTCTATGGTATTGTACCCCACTGAGGTCCCTGTCCTCCCCAGGCTCCACCCCCCAAATCTCCAGGAGTTTCCCAACCTCAGTCTGGCAACCCGATCCCCCTATCTCCAACTGTTGGTCAGGTGGGACCTGGCAACCCTACCTATTAACTGGAGATGGACCTTTTCACTGGAGATGACACGGATTGAACCTGGGACCTTCTGCATGCAAGGCAGATGCTTGCCCTGCTTGCAAAGCAAATGTGCTTCAAGATTTATTTGTGTGTGGCGCTTTACTGGTGTATACATATATTCCTTTGCACTGACAAAACACCAGACAAAAATAATCTTCATGCAAATGTGTGAACAGCTTCATCCAAGATTGCCTTTTTGCACTGTTTTATCAATACACACAAATGCACTTTGCGGGTGCAGGGGGGTGGGATGCAACTGAACAGAAGAAGAACTGGCAAATCACATGGGCACCACATCCTGTAGAAAATTTGGGGGTTAAAAAAAACTGGAGGCTCTTTAGTACATTGTTTTCATTTTGGAAAGAAGGCCAACTGATTCAGAACTCCCAAATCGAGGGAGCAGTTTGGACCAGGAGAAGTTTGGAAGAATCCTTATCAATGAAACCAACATCATTTTTGCCAAATAGAGCTCTGCTAGTCTTGTTATTGAGAATTAAGAACATAAGAAGAACCCCGCTGGTTCAGACCAGTGGTCCATCTAGTCCAGCACCCTGCCTCACACAGTGGCCAACCAAGTCCTCTGGAGTTCCAACAACAGGGCGAGGTCAAGGCCTTCCCCTGATGTTGCCTCCTGGCACTGGGAGTCAGAGGCTGACTGCCTCTGAACATGGAGGTTCCCCTTAGTCGCCATGGCTGGTAGCCACTGACAGATCTGTCCTCCATCAATTGATCTCATCTCCTTTTAAAGCTGTCTATGCCTGTGGCCACCACTGGGGCCGATTTCGCACAAGACTTTGGCCCGGGCTCAACCCTCTTTTCCCTCCGGTGCATTTCGTCAATTTCACACCATTTGACCCGCAGCCGGCTTTTGGCCCAGAGCTTCCCCCGATTTGCTCCATATCAGCGTGATCCTTGATTCCCAGGAGTTTCCTGTTGCCTCGCAGGGAATCTTGCCCCCCTCCCTTCCCCCCTCCCCACTTTTTCCACACCCATTAGCCCCTTAGCTCACCCTCCCCTTTTTTTCTCTCTTTTAAAAAATGGTGTCATTATAACGTCCTATCGTAGCAATGAAATGGATGCTGGCCACACTGCACGGCATTTCATGGCAGATTTCGATGGTGAAATGTGCTGCCCAGCTGTGGAGTCTTGTGAACAAAAATTTTACCCTGAGATAAAACACTTCTCTCTCTCTCTCTGGAAACTTCCCCAGGCAAAAGAAGAGGCCATCAGTTCCTCCATGTGCAACTTGCAAGAGAAAGAAAATGCTTCTCCGTGAAAGCGTAAGTGGCCATTTAAACACACGCCGGTTTGAATGACAACAAAACTCTCCTGCGCCACTCGGAAAAAGAGCAAAAGTGTGCTTTCTGCATTGAACAACGGAGGTGCAAAGAACAGTGGAGACTGTTGAGGTTGCAGGACTATTGAGGACAGGGGCTGATTCCCCCTCCGTGGGTCTGTCCTAGGTGGTCGCCCAGGTTAATTCCCATACAAGCGTATCCAGCGGTTGAGATCATTATAGGGCGGCCAGGTCCAGCTTGCTCCCCAGCGGCGGACTTTGGGGTGGCATTCCAGGCCCACTGATCAGCTGGAGGGCCTTTTAAGTCTTGCAGGAGAGGAAGAAGAGGAGGAGATTGGATTTATACCCCCCCTTCACTACTCGAAGGAGTCTCAGAGCAGTTTACAATCTCCTTTCCCTTCCCCTCCCCACAACAGACATCCTGTGAGGTTGGGGGGGGGGCTGAGAGAGCTCTTTCACGAACTGCCCTTTCAAGGACAGCTCTGGAAGAACTTATGACTGACCCAAGGTCACACCAGCAGCTGCATGTGGAGGAGTGGGGAATCAAACCCGGTTCTCCCAGATTAGAGTCCGCGCTCCTAACCTGGCTGCTGGCCATGCTGCTGTGCCGCTTGGAATTCAGGTGTGCAAGGCCCAACCCCGCTGCCCAGAAGCATGTAAAGGGATGCTTTAAATGCTTCTGGGCAGCCGGCCTCCGCACCTGAATTCCAAGCGGCAAATCCCCACTTGGAGTCCAGCCTCAGTTGCCCCTCTCCAGAGAGATTTAAAGGGCCCTCCAGCTGATCGGCGGTCCATGTGCTCCCCTCCAATCAGCTGGAGGGCCCTTTAAATCTCTCTGGAGAGAAGGGAGAGGGGTGGCCGGGCTTGGGGGCGGGGCTTCCCCCACGGGCCATCTGGGTAGGCCAAGCTAGCCTGATCTCGTCAGATCTCGGGAGCTAAGCAGGGCAGGCCGTGGCTGGTATTTGGATGGGAGACCTCCAAGGAATACCAGGGTTGTGATGTAGAGGCAGGCAATGGCAAAGCACCTCTGAATGTCTCTCGCCCTGAAAACCCTGCTGGGTCACCATAAGGCAGCTGCGATTTGATGGCACTTTCCACCACTACGGTCTTTTGCGACGCTGCTGTTGTTTCC